CTCTTCCTTACCTGTCTGGTTCTTGTTGGTGTCGGCGGCTCGCAGGCTTGGGAACAGGAACTCGCGGACCGTCCGCAGGTCCTGGACCCGGCAGAACTCGAGCAGACAGCAGGACATACCGAGCCGAACCGAACCGGGTCGGGAGAGCAAGAGCCTGGACTGCCGATGTTACAGACAGGTGTCCGAGCCCGTGTGCCTCAGTGATACCGCCGGGACTCCGCACGATCACAATCCGCCCCTCGGTGTCTACAGCTGAACCCCAGTACGAGGATGTTGACACGGCGCCGCTCTTCAAGACAACCCGAAGCTCCTGACAGCCTGCAGCAGCGGCTGCTCTCCCTCACGCCGCCCCCTAGCGGCCGGCTGACCGCCAGCCTGCGCGGTTCGACCTGCCGTGTGGAGATCAGTGCGTGTTCACGGGTGGGCACGGAGAACAAACTCCAAAACCTGGGAGAGCATCCTCCCAGGAGAGAACACAAGTTCTAAATATCATAACACCTGCAGGTCTGCCAACAACGATCCCCTGCGGTCGATCAGATCATACACCCACCTGTACTGAACTGGTCTATGTGCATAAAGAGCTCTGTGCAGCAGCGCAATACTGATGGGTTATTAGACAATCTAGACAACAAGTGAACACTTCCAGCCAGGATCTCATCCAGACAGTTCTTGAGAGAAACCTCGGTATGACTGAGGCCTCATTTAGAATAGAAAACATATAGCTGCTCATTCCTGGGCTTAAGGTAGTGTCCTACACTGACAGACTGAAGGAACTCAGTCTCTTTAGTCTTGAACAGAGATCTGATACAAGTACAGGACTCAAAATCCATAAACTAATTGTATCTTTGTGACAAAATGTGACCATAGTCTGAACCATGAGCTACGGCAGCTTGCTCAGTTTTTGTTTTATAAATGTATTAAAAGCTAAGTTTATTGTGGTGAACAGTTCGCATACAGTAGTTAGAAGCGGTGCTAGGCAGCTTGTGCCGGCAGAGGGCGCTGTCTACCGCGCGGCTGTAATGTCCGGAAGACGTCTGCGATCAGGGGAGACTTCCTTCTTCTCTCTGCCTTGTATCCGCCCCGCAGAGGCTGCCACGCAGGCTTGTTTTGACTGTGTTTCCGCCCCGCACTTGTGTTGTGAGAGTGCCGCCGACGATGGAGCAGCGGCTAGAGGAGTTCAGAGCCCTAAAGAGAAGGCAGCAGCAGCCGGCGGGCCAGCCCGAGATGCGGACCCCGGCGGTGGAGTCGCAGAGCCCCGTCACGGAGTGCTGCACTGCCGGAGCGTCTGAGAGAGGCAGCCCAGCCTGTGATCCGCCACAACCTGCGGAGCAGAGAGTGAGTCCCCCGGAGAGCAGTAATACCAGCCGGGCTGCTCCCGCTGTAAGTTCGTCGGCCGAGTTCAGCCCTCACAGCGCGCCGGGTCCGTCTCAGACTGAGTGCAGTCCGGTCCGGTTTCGGGAACCCGGCTCCGCTGTTTTCCTTTGGACTTAATAATTCTGTTTCTATTTCT